CGTGTGCGCTGCGCGTGCCCGGTGCGCGCACCGCACACCATACGGCGGGAAACAGACGGCGAGGGGGGCGCGGCGGCAGCGGCGCAGCGCGCGCGCGGCGCGCGCGACGGAGGGGCGGAGCAGCGACCGCTGAGCGCGGTCGCTGCTCCGTCTGTCCCGGAGCGCCGTCTGCGCGGGGTGCGCCAAGGCCTGAGGGCGGGCGGGCGGGCGGGCGGGCGGGCGGGGGGGCGGGGGGGGATAAACGCTGCGCCGCCCCCGCACCAGCGACACCGGCCGCGGCTCGCCTCCACGCGCCGGCTCGGAAGAGGGGCTGTCGGCGGCGCACCAGAGCGGCTTGCCTCGGCGCTCGAGCCGCCGACAGCCCCACTCCTCGACGTGACGGCCGCTCCCGGAGCCAGCCGGTGCGTTCCCGACCCACGCCCCCTCTCGCACCCCTCCGACCCCCCCTGCGCGGCGCACCTATCCGCTGTGCGCCGGCTCGAGCGCCTATTGCCAAATCGCGACGTTTGAGCGCAGGTACGCGTCCCACACGTCACGCGCGCGCAGGAGAGTTTGCGGCGGTGCTGTAGCGTGTACTCGCCGAGGGCATCGCGCCGAAAACCCCGCGCGTTCCGCCCCAGCAGAGGCTGCAGCCGATGCGACAAAAACACCACTGTAAAACGGTGAGTACTTGGGGTTGAGTGGGCTTGCTTGCTCCCTTAGCAAAAATGCAAGAATTTATTTGTTCTTTTTGGTTTGGCGTTAGAGTAGCGTCCAAACCGGTGCAACACCGCGCCGTTCGTGAGAAGGGGCGGGGGGGGGGCGAGTTCGGCTTAGGGGGTTGTCCGGTGGAGGGGGCCCGGGCGGGCGGGGAGGAGCAAGGTGGGTCGGGGCGGGCGGTCGGGGCGGGGCGGGGGCGCGGGGCAAAATTACTCGCTCGGGTCAGGGTGTAGGTATATTTGTTTGGGTGGGGCGGGGCGGGGTGGGGATGTTGGGGTGGGGCGGGGCGGGCGCCGGAGTGGGAGTCATATCTCATATGACTGCTGAGCGAGAGAGAGTTTTAGCAATACCAAACAACTCTACACTCACACATCATTTGGGGCCTGGTTTTGATGAGACTACTCTCTCTCTCTGGTTTTGTGTTGTTGCTGCTTCTGAGAGTTTTTTTGTTTGTCTGCTTCTGGTGGGGCGACGGCTTCTGAGGAACGTCGCCCGCGCCTTTTCTGTCGTGTGAATCGTGTGCGACCGCCTGGGGGCAGTCTGTGGGAAACTCGCCGCGCACAGGAAAAAATTAAATCATCTTTTTTTCTTCCCTTGCGTGGACTTGTGCAGGAGCGCCCGCCGCGGACCTAGTTCCCAACCTCCCCGCGCGGGGCCGCTCCGGGGCGACCCGGGCGCCCTCCGACCACGCTGCCACACTACTATCCTTCACCAGTAATGCTTGTCCCAGCACGAACTGCGCTCGAAGAGCACAACTCGGTAGATCCTCTTCATACGTCGACCGCCGATGCAGAGCAGGGCGGTGCGGCTGAATGCGCCGCGGATTCAGAGACCGCTGACATCACCGCGTGCCATGCGACACCGAAGGGTTCGCGGCGGTATGCACGCCTCGCCACCGGTTCCGGCGCCGGTGCGGAGGACGGCGCTGACGAAGGCGGCCGGACTACCCGGCGCGAGAAGCGCGAGAGGCCGCGCCGAGCCCGAGGCCGGACGAGACCCTCTCCCCGCGTGCAGCGTCGCGCTGTGGAGCGTGCGAGAGTGGGCGAAGCTCCATCACCACTGCAGCTGTGCAGACACGCTGCTGCCCTATGCACAGTTGGGCTCGCGCCCGGGCTCCTCCTGATGTCGATGCCCTTTAGCGGTGAGGACGCACCACAGGTCGTCAGGCGCCCGCACCGATCGCCGGCGCAGGCTTGGTACGACGCGTACGTATTCTGGCGATCAGCACCCCCTCCCGACCCACCGCTGCCACCGCCATCATCGCCGCCGCCCGCTCCACCGCAGCCCTCGAGCCCGCCACTGCCGCCATCTCCACCGCCGTCTCCACCGCCGTCTCCACCGCCGGCGTCGCCTCCTCATCCGCCGCCGCCCGCACCGCCACCTCCCACCAGGCTGAGCCCAGCCCGGTGTGACGCCCTCTTCCGCGATCGGGACGGCATCTTTCGGCAGATGTGGAACCGCGAGGGGTGGATGCAGCTGCACGGCGGCGAGCCGTGCTGGGGCCGCAACGACGGAGGCCGCTCTTACTTTGACAACGTGCTAATGGGCACCAGCTGCGACAACAATTGGTACGAAGGCTTCATGGGCTGGCAGGAGTGGGACGGGGATGCGCCGGCTGTCCTTGGCTTTGACAGCAGCATCGACGGCTACTGCCGAGGCCTGCAGGGACGGAGGCGGCGGCTGGCGCGGGGCAACGCCACGACTGGCAACGCGGCCGATGGCGACGATGCGACCACCATGAGCAACCGCCGCCGGCGGCTCAACGCGGCGTGGCTGTGCCACGAGGTGAACCGCAATATTTTGGTGAGCAGACGCCTTTCGCCGGTAGAAGTAGTAGGCAACCTTAATTCCAAGATCTGGCCCCTATCCACGCTAAAGCGACTAGCGACAGGGGACCCTGCCACCTTCACCCCCTCTTACCTCCCTCGCGCCCCCTCAGATGTTGTTTGGAACCAATGTGCACGGCATCTCGGCGCTTTGTTAAGAGGAGGAACGGGAGGAGGCGGTGCGTGAGCGCTCGGCTATATCTCGGCTATAGGCACTGGCGCAGGCTACAACAGCTGCCGAAATTTAGAGTGGCAGATCTGCGCGGCGCTGGGCAGGCTTCCAGGCCAGCGCTCGCCGAGGATCGTCTTTTCGACGGCTCCAAGCGAGCTCGACACCGCGGGAGCTCGGCCCCTCGGCAAGTGCGGTGGCTACAAGCCGCGAGGCTGCGGCTGGCAGTCGTACGCCAACGATGACATTTTCTTCCTCGAGGTTTGCATATACGCCAAGATATGCCGGAATCGCGACAAGCTCTTCCGGCTGCGCCGCGGCGAGTTCTTCATCTGCGACGTCGACGAGGAGGGCTTTCGCGACTTGCAGCATCTGCTCGCCGACGGTCCGCACCCAAAGCGATGACCCCGACTGACCAGCTTCACCACCTCCAGGTTCGAGCGAGCCGCGCGCGCGCTTCAACGCACGGGCGAGTCCGACGACAGCCGGGGCCCCCCGGGGGCAACGGGAATGGGTATGGCAAGTATGATTAACATATGTCTCCTATATCCCGTTTTGACGTATTAACGCGTTCCGTGTACACTATAGTGTAGTGTGACGCCCAGCCTGAGGGGCAGCCTCTCCATGATCGAATGCGCGGGTCGCGCATTCACACACACTCCACAACTCCGGGGGATATTACGTCACGTAAAAGCAACTCGATTGCTTTTACGTGATTACGCGGCACGCGGCTATACGCGCCGAGAGCGCGGATATGTTTGCTATTTGGGACGGCTATTGCGATTGCGGTATATCGCTACAACTCTTTCGGGCGTATCGGCGCGCCCACGGTCGCCGAAGTGTTTACTAGCGTCTGTTCTGATCGTATAACTTTTGTCAGTCACCAAAAGGGCCACGCGCGCCGCGCGGCTCCTCTTTACCGCCCACGCACCCGACGGTGCGTGGGGAGCCCTATAGTGTGTGTGTCGAACGCGTTCTGCAGTCTCCACGTCTTCGCGTTTCAGCTTTTCTCTGGTAGCGTAGCAGGACGGGAAGTCGGGAATGATATGATAGTAGGGGAGTAGAAGAAAGCACAGAGGAGCCCTGCGCACGGCGACGCACGACTTCTTGTGCAGCTCACAAAATCAAAAAAACTGCGGCCGCCAGCGACTGAGCGTCTCCGGCTGTGGCGGACGGGGAGAGGAACACAAAGAGACGTACGGACGTCCATCCACACGACTGGGATGAGAATACTGGAGAGATGCAGAGATGAGGTCGAACCTGCTGATTCAACAGCCGCCCACAGGAGCGCCGCCTCAACACGGGGTCTCGGCTCTATCGAGCCATGCTAGCTCCAGCCGCAGCCCCACCCGGCCGCCCGTCCCCGAGAGGGTGTGTTCCCCCGCAAGGGGTACGGCTCTTACTACCGTAAGTTACTCTTACTAAAAAAGCACACAGAGAAGACACTAATCCTGGGAAGTGCCACGGGAAGCACAACACAGCCTGAATGAAGCTCTTGGGGTGAAATTCTGAAAAACGTGCAGCACTTCTAGCCGACATCGACAAAAGTCACTCTCTAGCCCCGCGGCGAGCGGCCCCGCCGGAGGCGAAGAAAATTTTGCCATCTAGCGCTCTCTAACACACATTTTTGCACAAATCGACGCCTCCAAACAAGTTCAATAAGACTGGTCTTCACTGCAGCACGCCTCGAGCGAGTAATGCGTCTGTAGGCCAATATAATAGAGCTTCTCGCGCGCGCTCCTCAGCTGGCGGTCCGCAGGGCCGCCCGGGCCGGGCGAGAAGCGCAAGCCCGCCAGCCGCACCATGTGATTCACGATGATGAGCGTCTCGGCCTCGAGCAGCGTGTAGGAGCGAAGCTTGCCCTCGCACTCGCGTTGCTCGAGCCTGAGCCACTGCGCCTTGACCACGAGATAGCCCGCGGGGATGGTGTCGGTGTTGACGACCGTGTCCTCGGCCAGCGTGTACGCCTTCCCCTTGAGCACCGCCAGCCAGTAGAGCCCCTCGAGCGACTGCTCGCGCCGATCTGCGCGGCGACAGCGGCCTGGACAAGTCCGGCCAAGTCGGTTACGGGGAGGGCTACTCCACGAGGTCTTTGCGCGGGGGTGGTCGGGCGCCAGGCGCCCAGTCGATTGCCGCATAGTTCGTCGTAGTAGCCCTATCATAAACCTCTTATTCACACCTTGCACTTTGAAAAAAGAAATATCCGACCTTTGTCGAAGATCCGCGGAGGGTTATCAGAGCATCACCCCTTGAGAACTGTGGAAGACTTCGTAGCCCTCCGATCAGTTCAGAGCGGTTTTTGAAATGCAAAAAATGGCCGGTAAGACAAACGTGCGAAATCTCTTGTCCTCTCTCTCTCCTCTTCTCGTCTGCCTCAGTGTGTGTTCCCTCGACACATATAACGATCACAGCTCACAGATGCGTCACGGTAACTCCATCGGCGCAGAGTTCAGACTGCGGAAAGGTCACTGCCGTCACAAAAAACGCCCGAGCTCAGCGCATCACATTGCTCCGCGCCGGCGGCGTCATCTCCCCGCCTCATGAGGCAGCCCCGAGAGGAAGCACGGGTCGTCGGGCGACTCGGGCGAGTACGTGTACTCGAGCCTGCACTCGCCGTCGAAGAAGCCCGAGGAGGAGGAGTACAGCTCCTCGACCGAGGAGGCGAGGCCGGCAAACATCACGATCAGCCCGGCGGCGATGTTGAGCGTCATCCAGGCGAGCCGCCCCGCGCCGAGGGGGACGGGCGCCAGCGCGATGAGCAGCACGTACGGCAGGAAGTAGGTGAAGGCCGTCATCCCGATGGCGCCGATCAGCGACTGCACCGCGATCAGCCGGTCCCCCTCCCCCGAGAGCAGCAGCTGCGCGACAAAGACCTGCGAGCCGAGGAAGAGCGAGCGCACGAGCAGCCGCAGCAGCCACGGCGGGGGCCGCGGCCACCCTCGGCGCGCGGCGGCGGCGGCGGCGTCCTCCTCCTCGCGCGCGACGGGCAGCGGGGCGGACCGGGCGGCGCGAGACGAGATCTCGCGAGAGGAGATCTCCTCCTCGGCGCCGGTGTGCGCCCTCCCGTCCGCGGCCGCCTCTGGCCAGGGCGCGCTCCTCCCCGCGGACGGCTCGTCCTCGGAGGCGATCGAACGCAGCCGCGCCGTCGGCGTGTGCGTCGCAGGCGAGTGCGGCGTGGGCGGCTGTGTCGGCGGGGTCGGCCTCGACTCGTGCCTCGGCGGCGGGTCTGGCGGCGCGCTGCAGCAGACGGTCGGGTCGATGCCGAGTCGCATCTCGATGTCGAGCATCATCACCTGGCGGGCAACTAATGATCAAGGAGCCGACAAGGCTCGCGGAGGGCCCGAGACGTCGCGTCTCTGTGTCGGGCGGCCTCGTCGCCAGGTTGCCGACCAGGTACTCCCCCGCTGCATCTCGGCTGTAGCTCGGCTAGATCTCGGCTAGATCTCGCCAGGTTGCCGACCAGGATGAAGTAGACCTCCTGCACGACCTGCACGCCGATGGAGGCGGTGTTTGCGGCGTTGCGCGGGAAGTTGAGGTTGATGTTGGACCAGGAGAAGTCGCCGTACGCGTAGTAGCCCACGATGCCGCACGCCCAGTAGAGCGGGATGGCGACGCCGTACGTCCAGTTCATCACACTCGGCCACGCGGACGGGGTCGACATCTCGCGGATCTCCTCGGGGTAGAAGCCGTGGCCGCCAAAGGCGTACGCGAAGGCGGACAGGCCGAGGAAGACGTCGTTCAGGTCGCGGCCCTGCGGCGAGGTTGCGTTGGAGAGCGCCTCCTCTCCTCCGCCCGAGAGAGCGCCGCCCCCGTCTGCAACCCCGAGCAGACCGTCGTAGCGCGGCCCTGGCTGGCACCGCCACGGCCGCACGAGGAGCACCTCGTAGAACATGACGGCGACGTTGATCGCGAGCGGCAGCAGGCCGAGCAGCGCCGCCGCCCACCGCGTCTCGTGGTACGTCGGCAGCTGCAGCACCGGCAGCGAGACGGCGGCGGCGACCAGCAGCCACTGCCACTGGCAGAGCCGAGACTGGTCGAAGAGCTGGCCGAAGAACTGCTCAAAGTAGATGAGCTCCGCAACCGTGGTCAGGTAGTAGGTCGCGAACTGCAGCACCAGGCAGCAGCCGGCGCCCGCGTCGCGCCACGCCTGCGGAGACCAGCCTCGCCGCGCCGCGCAGGCCGCGAGCGCCTCGCCGCAGAGGCCCGGGTAGCTGCCGATCTTTGGGCGGAGGCGGCAAACCTCGCCCAGCACGAGGCCCGTGTCGTACGTCACCACCGACGAGTACACCAGCGCCAGCATCCCCACCGTCCACCCGGTCTGCGCAAAGCAGGCCGGGATCGCACGCGGCACGCACATGAAGGCGAGGCTGTTGGCAGTGATGGCCCAGGTCGGCGCGCGCCGTAGCGGCGTGCCGGAGGCGGCAGCGCGCGGCGACGACGACGCCTTGTCGTGCCGGGCCACGCCCGCGTCGCTCGCCTCCACATTGAGCGGGATGAGGCCGTTCTTTGCTGCACCGCTCACAGCGCCAAGGTCACTTGGCCCTCGCGATATGGCGGGCAGGTTGTGCTGCGGCTCCGGCGCGCCACCGCCGCCGACGGTGACCGACGCAACGGCTGTGCCACGGACGTAGGCATCGCTGGTGGCCATCCGCCAGCCTCCACCTCGCTGACCGCGGCCAAGGTGTGCTGTCCCCTCCAAAGAGAGACTTGCATGGGCAGAACGAAAAATTGCACGGTGAGCGCGGCCCGGGGTTGAGCGTTTATGTGAGCGCGGCGCTCTCGGTGCTCACAACTCTCTCAAAAATCCTCGAGGGGGCGCTCTCCCTGTGCTCACAACGCTCTATTATTAAGTCGGGCGTCGACTGACAAGCCGCGTCGACTCGCGCGCCGCCAGAGGCCAAACAAATCTAACACTCACACGTCATTTCCAGAGGCCAGAGCCGAGAGCGGCCGCGCTGACTGATCGCGCCCGCCGGCGATTGAATCATGGCGCGAGGCGCGCTGGCTCCATGGCAGCACGTTGAAGCAGAGCAGGTGGGGACGAGGAGGAGCAGGACGCGCGTGAGGACGCGTCGCCTCTCTGCTGTGAATAGAGGGAGAGTGCTGCAGCGTTGGAACCGAAGCTCGGCGCCTCGCCCTCAGCAGAGCGGGCGAGAAAAGCTGAAGCTGTTCGCGCCACACTGATCGCCCCGCCTTAACTTGGACGCTTGCTTGAGCCATGCCGCGCGCGTACCCCCGACGACCATGTGTGCTGCAAGCGAGCGCTTGAGAGTTGAGTGCCGGGGGGGCGACTGTGAGGTGGGAGCACGTATCATGTGACGACGCCACCGAATTTCTCGTTTCGTGAGAGTCCTCTTCATCATCGTGTCGAAACGGATTTCTTTTTCCTTAGCCGGAGAGCTCTGAGACGCGAGAGACACTCGCGCTGCCAAGGCGCCCCATGCCCTGTGGCGCCCTCAGCAGGCGGCCCGCCACGAGCCGCTCGCCGCCGCCGCCCGCGGCCGAGACCACACGCGAGCGCCCGCCTTCTCCTCGGGCACGACAGCGGCTCGAGCACGGGTGTGGAACAAACAACACCTCGTGACCAACTGGCAGTGCACTGTCGGACAAACGCGCAGCCCGCCGGCCAGTCCGATGGTGACCAGTCCGATGGTGACCAGTCCGCCGGCCGAGCAGGCGAGGGGCCAGCGGGCTGAGCCCGCGGCTGCAGGCGAGCCGCCGCCACAGCCGCGGCAGCCCACTCTCCCTCCTGCGTGCTCACACGTCCACCCGCGAGCGAGCCGAGAGCGTCGCCGGGAGCGAGTGGGTGGCGGCCGATCGGCGACACTTGGCGCCCGCCAGAGCTCTGGCTCGGGCGCCGTCGGGGGCAGCGCGCCGCACGCCTCGCCGCCGCCACCGCCGCAGCTCGCCCCGCCACCGCCCCTCACCCCTCCTTGCGGACCAGCGCGCACCAGTTGCCCGTGTCGTGGTACTCCTCCTCGAGGCTGGCGCCCGGCACGGAGGCGATGAGCTCGGAGAGCTCGCCTGAGGCGTCAGGCGGCGCGAGAGGACAGGTCCGGGACAGGGCCGGGGCGTGCGGGAGTGGAGGCGGCGCGAGGGGACAGGTCCGGGGCGTGCGAGAGTGGCGCCGCGAGGAGGTGCCGAGGAGTGTGCTGCGCCGAGAGCGCCGAGAGCGTCGCGGGCGAGGGGTGCGACCGCGCTGCCGAGGTGCGGGTGGGCGGCTCGCCCTGCGAGTACACGTGGCAGTATCGCTGGAAGACCGTCGCGCGCTTGTCCGGCACGTGCACGCCTCCCGCGGCCGCCTCGAGCTCGGCCGACCGGCGCGGCGTACTGTCTCGCTGGTGGAAGGGCACGAGGACGTCTCGCGCGGCGAAGCCTAGGCGCGAGCTCGTGGACGCGTCGAGGACGCTTCGTGCGTCGGAGGCCGCCGGAGCCTCCCGCGCCGTGGTTGGACACGCCCTCCTGCTGCTCGAGCGCCCACGCGTAAAAGAGCGCCACGCCGCCTGCCCGGAGCACTCGCATCGTCTCGGAGACCAGCGCACGCCGCCGCTCCACCGAGGAGATGTGGTGCAGCACGGCGATCGACAGCGCGGCGTCGAAGCTCGCGTCGCGATACGGGAGCGCCAGGCAGTCTGCCACCAGCGCCTCCATCCGCATCTCTCTCGCCGCGATTCGGACGAGCTCGCTCGAAAAGTCGCAGCCAACGGCGGCGAGGCCGCTCTCGGCGCAGGCAGGCGCGAGCTTGCCGTTCCCGCACCCCAGGTCGGCGACGAGCGAGCCGTGCGGCAGGCTGCGCACAAACTCGACGACGCGTGGCCAGGCCTTGTACCGAGTGCCGTGCCACTGCCACGCAATCGCGTCGTAGACGCGCCGGACATGCTGCTCCTCGAGAGCGGCTTGTGAGGCCAGGAGCGAGGCGGGGCACTCGACGTTGTCCTTGGGAGGCATATACACGCAGGATTCCTATAGGGGCGCAGGGTGGCCGCAGCGCACCTCACCGCCTTTTTTTCTGCGGTGTAAAATTCTTTTCCTGGGACAGTCACGCGTCTCGAGCAAGCGTTCTGTCTGAGGTGAGCATGGGCACCAGCTGATCGGTCGAGCAAAAAGAGCGAACGGCCAGATCACGCTTCACGGGTCGGTGCAGCACCTCGCGTCGTCAATCAGCACCGTCTCCACATTGACGGCGCGCCCGTCCGCCATGATCTCGCCCACGAGGAAGCCCTGCTGCCCGTCGCACGCCCACCCGCCGCCGCCGCCCGTCAGCCAATTGCGGTTGGGCGCGATCGACGCCGTGCCGGCGTAGCCCGACTCGTGCGCAGCGGTCGCGTGCCGGTGGCCTCCGAAGTAGGAGATGCGCGTCTCGTGCGAGCGGAGGAGCCCGATCGTGTCGATGCCGCCCGGCCGCCGGCCGAGGAGGAAGTCGGTCGGGTAGTGCGACACGACGAGCAAGTTCCCGCCGCGGTTGGCGGCCACCCGCTCGCGGAGCATCCGCGCCGAGGCGACCTCCCGCTCGGCGAGGGTGCGGAGGCACTGCGCCGGCGAGCACCCCTCGGACTGGACGAGCCAGGGACACGACTTGGACGCGTCGGCCGCGTTCATGTCGAGCGCCACAACCTAGCGGGGGGAAGGGGCGTGGAGCCGGGGGTGCAAAGGGGAGCCGACGTCTGGCGGCGGCCGCGCGCCTCAATGTTGACGCCCGGGAGGGGCCGCGCGTGGTAGTAGGTGGAGGGCATGTACCACGACGTGTTGCGGTGCCTCGCGCCGTGCTTCTGCACCTGGTGGCACTGCTTCGGGTCCGAGAGGCAGCCGCACCGCCAGTCGGGCGCCTCGTAGTCGTGGTTGCCTATCCTCGAGCGCAACACACACCGCCTCACACGCGGTGGGCGGGCTCGGCCGGGGGAAGAGCGCGCGGGCGATCGGCGCCGTAGACCGAGTACCACTGCATGTGGTCCATCCCGTGGTACACGTCCGACCACTTCTCGGTCCACTGCGG